ATCCTACTTCCGTAGTGATACTGCCTCGGAAACCCAAGGAGGGGTCGCTATGAGTTGGGGCCGACTCCACGGCACATAACAACAACAACAACAATGATCATGAGTAGGTATCTCTTCACGTGTTTGTTAGTTACCTGAATAAATGTATTCTTTGGTGAAGTATTGTTCATGTCCTTTTGCCTATTTTTGACTGGATTGGTTTTCTTTTTTGTTGTTGAGGTACTGATGTTTTCTATGTATTTTAAATTAGACCTTTGCCAGATAAGTTGTTACCTAAAGCTTTGTCCCCAGTCTGTAGGTTCTCTTTTTACTCTTTGGTATACACTGATAAGCATAAATATTTTTAGGAGGTTCCAGTCATCAAGTTTATCTTCTGTTACTTATACATTTTCAGTTATGTTTGATAGTGTATTTATGCCAGATTAGAGCCCCTAGCTTTGTTCGTATGTTATCTTCCAGGAATTTTATTGTTTTAGGCTTAACATTCAGGTCTTTTGATTCATTTTGAGTTCATTTTTATGTATGGTATGAGGTATGAATCCTGTTTTATTTTTCTGCAAATGGATATCCAATTTTGCCAGCACTATTTGTTATACTCTCTATTTCCCACTGGATGGACTTTAACCCTTTGTCAAAGATCAGCTCTCCACAGTTAGATGGATTTACTTCTGGGTTCTCAATTCTGTTCCATTTGCCTATGTCTATTTTTGCACCAGTACTAAGCTGTTTTGAGTATGGGGACTGTACAGTAGTTCTGGATCAGAAGTATGAGGCCTCCTATTTTGTTCTTCCAGTAACACATCAGACAATGCTTCACTGCTATTCATAAGGTTTTCAGTGGCCATTTTTTTCAGAAGTGGATGGCCTTGTCCTTTTCAGTATGCCTTAGTCTGGAAGCTCCAGTGAAATCTGTATACCATGGACGACCCTGTTGGCATTTGAAATACTGGTGGCATAGATTCCAGTATCACAGCAACATGCAAGCCAACACAGTACAACAAACTGACAGACAAGTGGTGGAAGAAGTACAGCCAGAATGCTTCTCAGAAACAAGATTGGCCAGACTTCATCTCATGTACTTTGGTCATATTATCAGAAAGGACCAGTCCCTGGAGAAGGCTAACATGTTTGGTAAAGTAGAGGGTAAGCAAAAAAGAGGAAGATCCTCATCAAGATGGACTGACAGCGGCTACACCAATGGTTCAAACATAGCAATGACTGTAAGAACAGCACAGAACTGGGCACTGATTTGTTCTGTTGTACACAGAACACTGTGAGTTGGAGCCAACTTGACAAAACCTAACAACAACAATAGCAACTTTCCTCTTCTTCAATAATGCTTTGGCTATTTGGGGCTTCTTTGTTTTCCATATAAAGTTGGAGACTAATTTTTCCATTTCATTGAAGAATGATGTTGGGATTTGGATTGGGATTGCATTATGTCTATTGATTATTTTGGGTAGTATTGACTACCCTAATGTTAAGCCTTCCAATCCACTGAATAATTGTTTAAGGTAAAAATAAAAGTATTGCCAACAGGCTAAGGAGGCCTCATTTTCTGACCGCCTCTAACCCCACAAGAGGAAGACAGAATCACCATCAGTAGCCAAAGGCCTATTCCTGAGAGGCCAGACATGCTGCCTCCTTCCAGCCCTTTCAAAAATCCTGACACCATCTGTTCCTCCCACAGCACCCACCACCTCTCTCTGCTGGGTTTGATAATTTGCCGCAGTGGCCACACAGAACTCACAGATTATGAGGTTTATTAGGGAAGCAACAGGCTATATTCAAGTTTAGGAACACGCTTAGTCTCTCTCAGCCCACTGTCTCTCAGCTGACAGTCTCTCTCAGTCTCTCTCCCAGCAATGCATGTCTCTCAAACCACACACACACACACACATTTTATCTGCTCAGGATTATACTTTGCCTCAGTTCAATTCCCACGTTTTCCTGATAGTAGTAATGTTTACTCACACCAGGACAAATTATT